ACCCGCATCCTAATTCTTTTGTTAATCTACTTAATGTCATTAAACTTTCTGAAGTTTATTATTTAAATTCATTTGATGGTTATGATATCTCATTAGTCTAAATTAATAAATTATTAAAAGCTCTAAGTCACCTAATCAATCATAACCCATGCTTTATTAAGTACCTGCACTTGTGCTTGTAATCTAAAATTAAACGTGTTTCAAGTACTTTTGATTTTGACCTATACCTATTTATTATATCTTAGTTCGACCCAGGTGACACCCTCAAGTGACTAAAATGCTTCATTTTGAAGTTAGTTTCCTAGCTGATTTTAAATTATATAGGGTATATGCTCCAACTACGCTCACACGTTTCCACTATGTCGTCCCACAAAATTACGTATGGATATATCACAATAGAAGCACGCAACAGTGGAAATCCCGAGCCATAGTTCAAACATTTATCCCAAATCAAAATGAAGCACATATAAGATTAGTTACAATACCATGTACAAAAATGATGTTTAAAATTGTTCCCTGAGTAATACTTCAATGAAAACAACAATGAAAGCTTGTCACGCAAGTAGAAGGAGTACCGTTGGGCACTTTCTGAAATATTTCAATAGTATAATTCCCTTGCAAACCCAAATAAATCTATCTGCGTAAAAATAAATAAAATAAGAGTGATTTGCGGCAAAACCCGCCAGTATCACACCCAACGTCAGTGCCTATACGTAAGCGTACCACGACGCGGCTCTCAATAAAAGGAGTAACAAGTGTGATACTATCACTGCTGGACTAGATCTTTTGTTCTCTCATGCAGTGGTTTATCAGAGAGGGGAAGCTCAGTAATCCTCATTGCCTGCCCATGGCGCCATTCTATCGCGGCATGAGCCAGCAACGTCGGCCACAAACCCACCGTCTCCAACACTCCACTAGCATGAAATTAAGCCCGCCCACCAACAGCAAGGTGCAAAAACTAGCCAAGGGGAGGGGTGCACCGTGTCCCATATTGTTGGGATGATAACCCGAGTAGGTTGTTAGGCACTCCTTATGGTTATCGTTTATTCGGGTGGTCACACTTGTATAGCTTTTGTATAGTTGTTGTATAGTGCTCGTAATTATTATACAAATAATCTGCCTATAATCCCATATCAGCCCCATATTGAAAAAGTAGGCATTGAGAAAATGGCACTCGAAGTTACGAAGTGCAATTCCCATGTAAATATTTGATAAATGATAGTAAATTAATTGAACATTTGTTCAAGTTATGATCTGTTGCAATGAAGCTTGAATGTTTTGTTAAATAAGCGAAACATATGGCAATTCAAAAAGCAGACCTTTAACTTGAACTATGGGCAATTGAATTTCAGAATGGGACTGATATGCGATTAATTTGCTTGATGGGACAAACTGACCTGATGTTGGTTTCTCATTTTTCATGATCAAAGTCCATGGTTTTATCACATAATATGAAAGTAGATGCCAATTGATAGTGTTGTTATCTCAAAATTGACGAAAATCCATATGGGACTGATATGCGATTTTGACGCTTTGAAAGTGCGATTCGGGTCATATTGACCCGAACACCGTAGGAAGGTTAACAGCTTCCAAAAAAGCCAAATCACAAAAAGGCTTTATCAAAAAACAAATAGACAGAGAGAAGGGAAAAGTCTAGATAGAGCTGGAATTAAGGCGTAACAGCTTTTGTAAACAATGACTTCTCTCGATGATTTCTAGAAAGCCAAGATTTGCTCATTCAAATCAACGTCACCATCAGGTAGGGGAAGACTTCCTCTTTTTGTTGGTTATGTTGGTTTGCGTGAGCGTGCCTTGAGTTTCGAGAAATCAAGAACAACATGTCAAAAGGGCATACAAGCTTTTTTGTAAACAAACCTTCTTATGCCCTTCTCTCGACACCCATATGACACCAACGCAAGCCATCAACATTAGCAGGTAGGGGAAGCATTCCCCTTCCCGATGATATTGTTGGTTTGCGTGAGCAACCCTCGGTTGGTGAGAAAAGGGCCTACACAGGTTTGTTTACAAAAAGCTTGTATGCCCTTTTCACATGTGGCTCTTGAAATCATCGAGAGAAGTCATTGTTTACAAAAGCTATTACGCCTTAATTCCAGCTCTATCAAGAAGTTCGCTCAGTTCAGGCATAACATTTGATAACGGCACAAAAGCATTTGTAAACAAACATTCTAAGGTCCTTTACACGCGAACCAAAGTACTCTCACGCAAACCAACAACATCATCGGATAGGGGCAACTATCACCTTTCCGAAAGTGGTATTGGTTTGCGTGGGCGTACTTTGGTTCGCGAGTAAAGGGCATTAGAAAGTTTGTTTACAAATGCTTTTGTGCCGTTATCAAATGTTATGCCTGAGTTGAATCTAGGACAGTTGAATATTAAGCCTGGATACGCTGGTTCAAATCTGGGTTTTTTTTCTGTATTGGGGATATTGGAAACTTGGCTGCTGTCTTGGAACCTTTCACAAGATTTCTCTTAGAATTTTGCTCATAACTCTCGTGAAAATTTCATAATAATATTACTCAGAACTTTCTTCGTATTGTCCCAAAATATGAATGAAACTGTTCCTTAAATTACCTTTGAATTATTCTCCAAAAATTCTTGAAATTTTCTTCTGGATTCTAATGGCACTCTCATTTAATTTCCCTTAATATTCTTATATGATTTGCTCTAAAATGCTCCTCAAAATTAATTACATCATTCCAGCAGTTTACAATTACGATTTCTACCTAGCGAGAGACTAGGGTTCCTGAAAAATCTTCAGCATTTGTTGCCTAATTTTCCTAAAATCTCTGGTCATTCCAAAATTGCTATTCGACCAGTCAATTACTTTGATGCTCTCATAAGAATTACTTTAGAATTCTTCATAGAATTTTTTAGAATACTCCTTAGAACTTTTTTGGAATCCTACCCAGAGTTTACTCCAAAGTAATTTCTCTTAATACGTTAATTAAGTTTCTATTTTAATCTCCATTAGATTTCATCTCATAATTATCTTGAAATGCTTATCAGAGCGCCACTAAAATCATCAGGAACTCTTCTCAAACTTCCAATTATTCGAGCAGTTTAAAATGACGTTTCATACCACTCAAGAGCCGTGAAAGCATATTTTTTCGTCTGGACCCTCGAGAACATAGAGTCTTACTTGAAAAATCGTGAATCTATTGGTTCATTTTCTTAAAAGCGTTGGTAGTCCCAAATAAATGATTAATTCGATTTTCCTTAGCATTTCCTAAAAATCTCGTGGAATCTTGCTTCGAATTACCATAGACATTTTCCTCAAAATTTCCTTGGAATCCTCCTTACAATTTGCTTGGAGCCATACACAGAATTCTCTTCAGAATTGATCGCATATTCGAGTAGTTTTGGGACGTCCTTCTACTAGAGATTTAAAGTAAAAGGGCTAGTAAATTTTGGATTTCATAGGCCTATCATAAAAAAAACCATCATTTATTGAAGCTCTAGCAAAAAAATCGCATAATATTGCTCCATGGAACTTTCCAGTGGTAGGAAACGTCATTTTAAACTGCTTGAATGAAATGATTCACTTCCTTTGATAACCATTTCATTCGAGCAGTTGAAAATTACGTTTCCTACCAATCAAACTTCGAAACTAAAACAATATTTTGAGATTTCTTTCTACTACGGAACCACGAGAAAAAGTAGCAAAATGTGTTGGGTTTTATAATAAAATAAATTTGTGTGTCCAGTTTTGTGAAATTGCTGGTAGAAAGTCACGCCAAAACTGCTTGACGGAATGGTCCATTCTCAACAAGATTTGTTTGAAAATTTTCTCAGGATCCCTTTGGAATTCTTCTCAGAATTAATTTGAAGATCCCTTCACAATTTCCACAAAATTCTCCTCAACAGAACTCCTTAGATGTCCCTAGAAGCTCTCCTGAACAGCTACTTTTGAATAATCCTCAAATATAACCTGGAACTCTAGTTAGAACTCTCTAATGCAGCGCTGCCCGACCGGACGTGTTCTCCTAAAAGTCCAGAATGAATGTGAAATAAATAAAAAGCAGCTTGAAACAAGGTCATCGAACATAGATACAGCCATTTAGAAAAAAAACATGTTAAGAAAGGTTGGGCAGGCCTGCTTTAAGAATACTCTTGGGAATTCTAGATAAACATTTCAAGAGGTCCTATCTGCATTGATCGATTCTCTTCATCGACTTTCTCTTTCGTTAATAACTCAGCTGTAAAACCTTTCCCTGTTGTATTTGACGTTTTGGACGCTAGATAAGAACCTCCTTTATCAAACCATGTGGTAGAATTTGCGCGAAATTTGTTTGCATAGCAGTGGTATGAACAGAGAAAATCGATGAAGAGAATCGATCAAAGCAGATAGGACCATTTAAAATGTTCATCGAGAATTATTTTCGAATTATCCGTAGTAGTCCCATTCGGTTTGACTGAAAACTCTTTATAAGTTTTCATTAAAATTCAGTATCACGAATATTTTCTTCAAGTTCAAGATCCTTGACAATGTTTCAATGTTCATAAGGGCCCATGCATTGATTATCTCACGCTAAATCGAAAAAAGTACCCCCCCCCCCCCCTCCACCCGTTAGAGCGTGACATGCATCAACCCTAATTTTGATATTTGTTTTCAAACCTGAGGAAATATTCCTTTGGAAATTCATGTTTCAGAATCTGTATGGAAAGAAATTCTTAAGTCCCACAGTCTTGAAGAATATTTATCGTTCAAATTCTCAAAAAAACGCCCTTAATCTATTCAAGTTCGGAATTTCTGCAAAAAAGTTTATCTTTCCAAAATGCAGTCACATCATGTGGAAAGATAAACAACGCATAGATCGACAGCCTAACGAAGCACCACTAGCTCCAGCAATCTGCTGACTGCTCTGTTCTTCCTTCCATTTCTAGCTAAGTAGGGCTTTCTTTCCGGATTAACACAAAACATTGGTAACATGTTCAAACGCAACTTTCCCTTACTCAAGCCAGAATTCAACTCTACATAACGATACTTATAACCAACCAATGTTTTCTTCTGCAAAACCTTTCTTAAAAATCGTTACTCATCGCCTGATAAGCGACAAATTCGCTTCCGCTATCTTCGATTTGCAACTTAAGCTTACCACCTGCCTTAGCCGGCACAAAAACAATCTTTCCAAACTCCAACCGCAGTTCCTCCCCGCTCGCTTCCGATTTCAGGCTAGCCTTCCCGGAACAAACCAACAGAATGCATCCATTCGGCCTGTTCGTAATGGTGTAGCTGCCGACTCCCTTGGGAACCTTAATCTCAGCCACGGCAAAGTCCGGCACGGTTGGAATGAACGTTCTCGTGTACGGCTGATTGGCCTTATCGAGCTGGACCGGTTGGAAGAGTTTCGCCTCCGACGGGGAACCCTCGTAGCTGACCAACCGGAGCAAAGTATCGACGTCCTTGAACTTTGGTGTCAGCCCGGCTCGGACGACATTGTCCGAACATGCCATACATTCGATGCAATCGCCAGAAATGTACGCGTGGGGAACGTTGGCAGGGAGGTAGATTGCTTGACCCGGTTTCAGGTGGAGAATGTTGAGGAAGTAGATCGAGAGGAGGCCCACGTCGTCGGGGAAATCCTTGTGCAGCTGAAGGAACAGGTTGTCCAGATCCGAACGAGCCGATCTTGCTTGAATTTTGGCTACCATTCCGAATATGCACTTTTCCAACTGTTCCGGTTCGCTGTGCATGAGCGTGGCGTACAGCTTCTTGAGGGCGGCTTCGTCGCCAGAAGCAAGACTTTCTATGTTATTCTTTCCCAGCAAGGTTTCGATTTCTGGCCAAGCAGTGAGAAGCGAGTGAATTTCAGCATACGGCCGGAAACCACACATAGCTTGAAACTCGGTGAGAGCGATTGCCAGTTCCGGTTTGTGGTTTGGGTCTTTGTAAATGTCCGGGAATTGAGCGTGCAGTTTTTCAGCTTCTTCCTAAAATTTACCGTCATTATAAATTCGTACGAACACTACCACCAAAACGAGTTCAAAATTACTCACCTTATTGGGATGAACTTGAATGCTAAGCGCCTTCCGAATGCTCAGCACCTTGAACAGGTAGGACAGTTTCGTCTGTCCCTCGCCGATTGTTCCCGGCAAATCCTTCTGAATGAAAACCCCCAATTCATCACCACTGGATTTAACCACCGATGGGCCACTGCAGTGATCACCCATCCAGAGTTCGGCGTACGGCTTACCTTTTTCCAGGACAAACTTTCCATCGTTCACCGAGGCCAGTTTGGCCACGTACGATTCCGCGTCGAGTTTTCCCCAATCGTAGTTTTTCACGTTACCGATTAGCTCCATGTTCGCAATTTATGGTGTGGAAAAAAAATACAGAAACACTAGTCTCGTGAAAGTGAATGGCGAATGACCTCTGTTTGAACTCAACCGAGTAGATTCCGCGCGCAACACCGATGCACCACCCATTGACTTCTATACTCTGCAAGCAAGGACGTTCGGGTTCCCATTTTTATGGCACAGACCTGTTGGTCCATTTTTGACGACGTTCGGGTTTGTTCGACGGATCTCGGCCACCTCGGCATCAGTGTTGTTTTTGTTGACGTCCGAACGCTTGACGCCGCCGCCGGTGCTGGCAGTTTATGCTCAGTGCTGTCACTAATGCTGTCGCAGCAAGAGGCCAGCGTTGCCAGAGGCATGGACGATGCCAGTCGGTTTAAACTTTTAAGTGGGCTCTAAAATTCTTGTTGTAGATGTTTTTTCTTTAACTTTTTTATGGTGAATTATTCACACATCGGCGTACATGAGAGGAGCAGAGCGGGATATGCATTGATATTTATGAGAGGGATGGTTTTTTGAACTCTAACCCAAAGTTTTGAACTAAAACTTATGCGTTTAGAGATCTCTCGAAAAAAATAATAATATATATATTATACACACAAAAAAAAAGTCATTGCTACAATCAAAAAAAGTTTGCATTGGTTCTTTTTGGTAGAAAGCGGTTCACTTTTAAAATCTTAAAGTTTAAAATTTCAAAATAAATTGTACAACTGTCAAATGAAAAGTATTACAGTGTTGAAATTAATACTGGTTTAATTTTGTTTAACAACAAACTTTTTGGTATGAAAGTTTGATACAGTTGAAATGTCATGTCAAAGTTTTCAATTGAAATAACAAAATTTTCATCATAAAAATATTATTGTTTTATTTAGTAAAGTCTAGTGCTGTGTAAATTTTACAGTTTCTAATATGTAATAGAAAGGTTCATAAATATATTTATTATGCAGGGCAGCTGCAGCAAACGACGCGATTTGCGATATTTCCTAGTCGAGAGGCCCGTTTATATGTAAATCTGTTTTCCAATGTAAATGTGGATTGCTTGACGAACGAGCCATTTCCACCGAATTAATGGCCACTTTCAGATGCGCATTTCTGTAAGGTTCTGAAAAGCAAAAAGCAAAAGTATGTTCCCGTACTTTCTGAATCATATTATTTCAATACAGCAGCTTACAGAAAGCTACAGCAACCTTCAGCAAAAGCAAAAAAGTAGAAGTTGTACCATAGAGGTAACTCTAAGACTAGAAGGTCCCGAAATAACGTGCTCAACTTTTTGGCTCAGCTCTGGTACTCTCTTCGGTCCCAAGCTAATCGATTCACCCCTCGAAACATAGGAAAAACAACTAACCCCTCATTTTATCTGTCAAACTTTCATAGCGAATCAAAACAAACATTGCGTAGTACTGGAATTTCGATTAGAATGGGGCACGTTAATCGTTTGCTTGGGACCAATAGGCTAGTCAAGTAGTGAGCCAATTTAAAATCGTTAGTTTCGTATTGATTGTTGGTTGTACTCAAGACACGATCGTAGATTTGACGTAGGATTACGTGCTCGGTATCAATATTAGGCGACTGTGTTAGGGAAACCACTTTTTACCATCACGGAAACGCCTCGTTTTCTGATGGTCCTGAAAAGAACCGTTTTGTCGTGATGGTTGAGTAATGCTGAGCTATTAGGGTGTTCAACACGGATGAGGCTGGCGAGCTGTATGTTGTTTGGAACGAGGGTGACGCACTTGGCATAGATGGCCCACAGCGGCTCACGACGAGCAACTGAATCCGATCAGTAGCGGTGCGGCTTCTTCCTCCTTCTTCAGTGAATCGAGGGCTCTTGAGGGTAGTCTTGATAGCTAGCTGCTTGCGGGGAGCTTTTACGTTGTGTACTGGAGAAAAATGTACAACGCCACGCGCCGGATGCACTGTTGCTGCTGCTGCTGATGACGACTGAACACCACCTCTAACCACACGCGGTGATTGAATAAACACCGTTCGGCGAGACCGGATGGAGTTTGATTTGAAATCTGTGTAAGGAAAAGCGCTTTTTGCAGGCAATCGGTGTTAATTTTGATCACCATTGCAACAGTTCCTAACTAACAATTTTCGCAATGTAAACGCTTTCCTCATTTCATTTATACAGCCTCAAGCTGTATTTAAATGTTATACGATATGAGGAAACCTTTACTCAACCTCTATACACAGCAAAAAAAGTTGTTGAATATTACATCGAAACTGCTGCAACCAGGTCAATCCATCGGTTGTGTAATATCACATTGTACGATGTACATCGATTTTGCGAACAAAATTACATCCATTGATGTAATATTGTATCTGCTATTTGCTATTACATCATTATTTCATACATCAGCTTGAATTACGTTGATCGATATTACATTTTTTTTTTTGCTGTGTACAAGCAAATCTGGCGAACTTAGTCGGCTACTTATGGCTGTTGTGACGGTTGGGATAAGCTCTTATTGCATATCTATTTACGCTTCTGTACAGCTGTTATCCTGCTGTTTAGCTGTGTGTGAACTTGAAAGGCGCTTACTCAACCTTTACCCGATTACCCAATAATCACTACACAACAGCTTTCCCTTGACGCCAGGTTAAATATTTTTTACGTTTTTTTGTTGAAGGAATATCATGTTTATTTTACTGCGAATCAAATTAATCGAAATCAGTTATAAGTAATACCACCAAATTATTTACACTGTACCGGAGGAACCTAGAATTGAACTCGAGACGACCACATTGGCGAACCTTGATACTACCAACTTCGATACGCCAACACTTTGAACAGACGTAAACAAATGTACATGCCCTTCTACAACAAGATTGCTGAGTAGAGGTTTTATAATAGTGCACATGAATCACTTTTCTCGACTAGTTAATTCAGCTTTGTAAAGAAGCAGAGTAAAAGCTGTAAACTGCACAAGTGTAAAAATAAACCTATTTGACTGTAAAATAGCTTCCAAAGTAGCGCTAACAAAATTTATTAGTTGAGTACAGGTTGTTTAGCTGTTGAACAAGCACTTTTGATGTTTCTGTTTTTGAGCAAGAGTTGTTGGTTGTTTAGAAGCCATCAAATGAGTAATATATTCACTTGATAAGTTTTGTTTTGCAGCTACAAGTTGAAAGTTAATTAATATTTGCATAGAAGTGACATTAGCGTTTATTGGCTGCTGTTATACAGTACGAATGACAAATTGAATAATGGTTGTGAAAAAGTTGAGTAAACGCTCTCGAAAACTATTTTGCTGGCTTCTGCTTGTAGCTGTATCTGCAGTTTTGTTTCAGCTACTTTACAGCACAAGGCTGGAAAAGTTGGCTTATAAAGCTGAAAATGTTAGTTGGGTTGGACATTTAGGCAATTTACTGGTACCGTCTAACGGCTCAATATTTATGATTTACCATCCCGAAGTAAATATACACCATGCCATGGACCAACAGGGTGATAAACGGTGTCCCACATCAAATTGCATCACGGAAAAAACGCTGTAGAAAATTACCCATTGGGTATTTTCTCTTGAAAATTTGGGTAGAAGTAGTTTAGAGTGTACTGTTTACACTGTATTTTTATCACTGTCAGTTTTTCGAAAGTTGGAAAAAATGGCGTCACCCGAAAAGCAACGTCGCGAATTGATTTCACGCAAGCACCTGGACAATCCTCAACTTTCTCATCGGGACATCGGGAAACAACTCGGAATCGTGCAGTCAACGGTGAGTCGTGTGATTAAACGTTACTACGAAACTCTGAGCATCGAACGGAAGGAGAAATGCGGTCAGAATGGATGTTCTATTAGTGATCCAGATCATAAGCGTGTCGTGAAAGCATTTAAGCGGAATCCCAATGCTTTGGTCAGGAATGTGGCCAAACAGTTGAATCTGTCCAACTCATTCGTTCAGAGAGCCAAGGACCGGGAGGGACTACATACGTACAAAGTGCAGAAGGCTCAAAATCGTGACGAACGGTGGGAAAGTCACGGGCCCGGAAACTGTACACCCAGATGCTGACGAAGCCTCATTGTCTCATCATGGATGATGAGACTTACGTCTAGGCGAACTTCCGGCAGCTTCCGGGGCTAATGTTTTTCACCGCCCAGCACAAGTTTGTTGTTCCGGAGGAAGTAAGAAAGCAGACACTTTCAAAGTTTGCCAAGAAATACATGATTTGGCAAGCGATTTGCTCATGTGGCAAACGGAGTGCGCCGTTTGTAACTACCGGGACTGTAAACGGGAAGATCTATCTCAAGGAGTGTCTACAGATGCGTCTGCTTCCTCTGTTGAAGCAACATGAGGGCCCTAGGATCTTCTGGCCGGATCTAGCATCGTGCCACTATTCAAATGTTGTCCTGGAGTGGTACGAAGCCACCGGGTCACTTTCGTACCCAAGGACATGAACCCGGGGAACCTCCCAACGCACCGGAACTAAGGCCCATCGAAAAATACTGGGCTATTATGAAGCAAGTCCTACGGAAGCATCCCAAGGAGGACAAATCTGAGAAAGACATGAAGAAAAAGTGGGTTTCCGTACAGAAGAAGCTGGTTATGGTATTGAAGTTGAATGAAATAAATATGGTTTATGGGTTATATTGTATTTTCTGAAAGTTTGAAAAGAATCGGTCAACTAGGTAATTTTCTACAGCGTTTTTTCCGTGATGCAATTTAATGTGGGACAACTTTTTATAACCATATCTGGATACGCTGGACTGTACCAGTACATGAGGATTAGAAATTTCCTTTTTGTTCCCTTCCGGATTCGGTTCTGGGTATCCGGATGTGGCCAGATCCTTCTGCTGGTCCATGGCATGATGTTTATTTACTTCTGGATATAAAATCATAAATTTTGAGCTGTCGGACGGTACCAGTACAAGAGGGCTTTGAAGTGTCCTTTTGTGACCTATCGAAACCGGTGCCAGGTGGCCTAAATAGTCAAATTGGATAAAAATCCTGTGTCACTTTTTCCTAATGCATTAGGAAGGTTAACAAGGTATCAATCACAGGAATCAGAATTGCCCTATTCGGGAACTTCATATTCACACAGAGCCGAACGTCATCTTTACCCTTGGGTACGACCAACAATGATATCCTGTTGGAGCATTTCCTGAATCTTCTCATCAACCTTATCTTTCATGGGTTCC